CCAAGCTGGACAGAAAAGGCTAGCTACGGGAGAGATGCTGCTATACTCCGGTCACGAAGAGGAAAATGCTCCACACACTCAGGGAGTTGCTCTAATGCTGTCCAAAGTAGCACGAAATGCACTTGTAGGATGGGAATCCCACGGATCCAGAATCATCAAAGCATCATTCAAAACAAAGTAGGAGGGGATCTTAATGAACATTATCCAACGTTATGCACCCACCAATGATAGCAACGACGACATTAAAGATCAATTCTACGAGCGGCTGCAGTCAATCATAGAGAAATGTTCAAGAAAGGACCTCACCATTCTGATGGGAGATCTAAATGCCAAGGTCGGAACAGACAACACTGGATATGAAGATATTATGGGACGACATGGACTGGGAGAGAGGAACGAAAATGGAGAAAGATTTGCAAATTTGTGTGCATTCAACAAATTAGTCATAGGAGGCACAATATTTCCACACAAACGTATACACAAGGCTACATGGATCTCACCGGACCACACTACAGAGAACCAGATAGACCATATTTGCATCAACAAAAAATTCCGAAGGACAATGGAAGATGTAAGAATCAGGAGCGGAGCTGACGTAGCTTCAGATCACCACCTACTTGTAGCCAATTTAAAACTGAAGCTAAAAAAGAACTGGACAAGTGGACAAACAGTACTACAAAGGTTCAATACAGCCTTCCTTCGAGATACTGACAAACTCAATGAATTCAAAATAGCTCTCAACAACAGGTTCCAAGCCTTTCAAGATCTACTGAAGGAAGAAGAAACTACCATGGAGGACAACTGGAAAAGCATCAAAGAAACATTGACTTCAACGTGTCAAGAGGTTCTGGGCATAAAGAAACACCATCATAAGGAATGGATCTCTATAGAATTACTGGACAAGATCAAAGAAAGGAAGAACAAGAAGACAGCAATTAACAACAGCCGAACACGAGCAGAGAAAGTTCAAGCACAAGCTGAATACATAGAAGCAAACAAACAAGTGAAGAGGAGCATTAGAGCCGACAAGAAGAAATACGTTGAAGAACTAGCAACGACGGCAGAAAAAGCTGCTGGAGAAGGAAATATGAAACAGCTCTACGATACAACGAAGAAACTATCAGGGAAATACAGTAAACCAGAGAGGCCGGTCAAAGACAAAGAAGGCAAGCCAATCACTGAAATTCAACAACAGCGAAACAGATGGGTAGAATACTTCGAGGAACTCCTGAATAGGCCGGCTCCAATGAATCCACCGAACATCGAAGCAGCACACACAGATCTTCCTATAGATGTCAACCCACCAACGACGGAAGAAATTAGAGTGGCCGTCAGACAAATCAAGAACGGGAAAGCAGCAGGACCCGACAACATACCAGCTGAAGCACTGAAATCAGACGTCGAAGTAACCACAAGCATGCTTTACCCTCTATTCAAAAAGATTTGGGAGGAGGAACAAGTGCCAATGAACTGGAAAGAAGGACACCTCATCAAGATTCCAAAGAAAGGAGATCTGAGCAAATGTGAAAACTACAGAGGCATTACACTACTGTCAATACCAGGGAAAGTCTTCAACAGAGTGTTGCTGAACCGGATGAAGGATGCAGTAGATGCCCAACTTCGAGATCAACAAGCTGGATTCCGAAAGGATCGGTCGTGCACAGACCAAATTGCAACACTACGGATCATCGTCGAACAATCAGTTGAGTGGAACTCGTCACTATACATCAACTTCATTGATTATGAAAAGGCATTCGACAGTGTAGATAGGAGGACATTATGGAAACTTCTTCGACATTACGGAGTTCCTGAGAAGATTGTCAATATTATCCGGAACTCATACGACGGACTACAGTGCAAAGTAGTGCATGGAGGACAGCTGACGGATGCATTCCAAGTAAGGACCGGAGTCAGACTAGGCTGTTTACTCTCTCCCTTCCTCTTTCTTCTGGTGGTCGACTGGATTATGAAGACCTCGACATCTGAAGGAAAACACGGAATACAATGGACAGCTCAGAACCAATTAGACGATCTGGACTTCGCAGATGACCTAGCCCTCCTATCACGTACACACGAACAGATGCAGATGAAGACAGCCAGTGTAGCAGCAGTCTCTGCATCAGTAGGCCTCAGCATACACAAAGGGAAAACGAAGGTCCTCAAATTCAAAGCGGAGAACAGCAATCCAATCACTCTTGATGGCGAAACTCTGGAAGATGTAGAATCCTTCACATATCTGGGAAGCATCGTCGATAGACATGGAGGTTCAGATGCAGACGTAAAGGCGAGGATTGGCAAAGCAAGGGCCGCATTCCTACAATTGAAGAACATATGGAACTCAAAACAACTTTCAACCAATATCAAAGTGAGAATCTTCAATACGAACGTCAAGGCAATTCTACTGTATGGAGCTGAAACTTGGAGAACTACAACAACCACAATCAAGAAAGTACAAGTATTTATAAATAGCTGTCTACGCAAGATACTCAACATCCATTGGCCGGATACCATCAGCAATAGTCTTCTGTGGGAGAGAACAAACCAACTTCCAGCTGAAGAGGAAATTAGGAAAAGTCGATGGAAATGGATAGGACATACATTACGCAAATCGTCAAACTGCATCACGAGGCAAGCTCTAACTTGGAATCCTGAAGGGAAGCGGAAAAGAGGAAGGCCAAAGAACACATTACGTCGGATAATAGAAGCAGATATGAAAAGGATGAATTACAACTGGAAGGAGCTGGAAAGGATTGCCCAGGACAGGGTTGGATGGAGAATGCTGGTGAGCGACCTATGCTCCTTCACGAGGAGTAACAGGTGTAAGTAAGTAAGTAAGTAATAGTAGTACAAAAATTTGTGAATAAAGATAGCAGAGAAAATTACATTTGATTACGAAATGTCGTAAATAAAATACTTAAATTATGTCATTGAATAGCTAAGATATCTAACATGGCGACATTTTTGAACATCTGGGTTACCTGTTCCTCCCATTTAGATATTTCAACAAGTTATGTAATTCTGTGCGTTTCTGGAACATGTACGATCTTTCGTTGTACAAGTTACAATACGCCGAATCAGAGATATCGTCGTTGCTGGCAATATGTATCGAAAAGAATGTATATTATTTAGATGTCCATTGATTGGACTGCTAACATCTAACTAGCGATCACTCAATATTTATCGTCACGATCGACTAAGAAATAAGAAATGGAAGCTTGTTGGAATATTTTGTGCTGAGAATTCTATGTTGTAAAAAAATACAGTATTGAATAAAGCCATTAATAGTAATAATCTATACTTTATCATTATCAACGTGTCTTTCTTGTAAATAAAAAAGTCATTAATTCTTCCTAAAATTTTCCATTCTCAAACATCACTTGTGCTCAGCTCAGTTTTTCAATGAGTAGTTTGATAATCATTAAAAAAAGCTCAAATGTTTTATAACTTTTAGGAAGTATATTTATCAATAATGAATAGGATATTACAAACAGAAAGGAGTTACATTTATAAAGTACCCTTCAACTAATAATTTGCGAATTTAATAAAGTACACTAATCCATACTAATACTAATACTACTGAGTGTTACTATGACAAATCTAAATGAATTACCACTTAAATGGAACTTATAACATACACTGTAGTGATGGTGAACACAGGTGAGGACAGACAAATTATATTATAGCATGAAGCCATAGAGTTACTTGGTAAAATTGAAAAATCATACTCTAATATTTCATTTGTAAAATGTTCATTAATTGTCTCACACTTCATTGTTCCTACATTTCTATACTAATTGTTTTCTATTCTAGTTCTTCCTTTCTCAATCATCTGCAGCCAGACATTATATTCCTCACTCGCGTTATATACTAGTTATGCCGATATAAGTAGCACAAACACACACACATAAACCACAATACGAAATCTTTTATTTTCTTTTCCTAAATTTATATTTCCTCTTTTAAATACATCCCCAAAATGGTGGTAATATATTCTAGTCTCTCATTCCTTTTTCCTGTATGCCCACATAATTCAGATCATTGTCGTTCAATATCTTTATTATTTACAAAATCTTGCATTGATTTCATTCTTATCTTTATTTTTTTAAAAAAAAACATGTATATATAAATAGACTATGATAATCTATGTGTGAGTGTATTGTTTCGCCTTTCTCCTTCCTTTTTTCTTCTTTTTTTTCGATCATCTATCTAATTTTTCTTTCTACGTTTAACAACATTTTAATATAGAATAGAAAACAAAAAAAGTAAATAAAAAAAAGAGAAAATGAACATCAAAAAGAAAAACAAACAAACAAACGAACAAAAATGAAAGAACAAAACTGTATTTCTGTCAAAGTTAATATTCAATAACAAAGATCTAATTAATTTTGTATTATTCATTAGAGAGTAGATAATTAGAGAGAAATGAAATTACAGTTCTATTTGAATAAATAATAATTATGCTACATAATGAATTGTATGATTACTATTATATATATTATCAGTAGTATTATGATTATTGTTTGACAAAATCTACTTCCTTAATGATGTCTAAACATTTATCATTCTATATATAAAAATATTTATCCATCTAACTTATTCATGCATAGATTATTCAAAGAATAGATATAATGTTTATGCTGATATACTGAACTACTCACTGAAGAAATACATGTATGTGGTACAAGAGATAACAATATATAGATCATATAGAAACTAATGACTTGAGATTAGATCTTTCTAAAAGTTAATTAAAATTCTCTTGAAAAATAACACGTTGATTAGTTCTAGTGACATTATGATACATACTACTGTTTAGGTTTGTATTATAATTAAATTGAATGGATAATGTGCTTTTAGTGTTGTTGTTTTGTATTTTCTTTGATTTTTAAGTATATTTAATGTTTTAAATGTATTAGTATAGTTTATAATCTTCTATGAAAGAATCTAGTTATAGGAATGGATCATATTGTAGTTAAATATGAATGTTCATTTCATGTTTTTTAATCATTATGAAAGAATGATGATGATGATGATGATGATGATGATGATGATGATGATGATGATGATGATGATGATGATGATGATGATGATGATGATGATGATGATGATGATGATGATGATGATGATGATGATGATGATGATGATGATGATGATGATGATGATGATGATGATGATGATGATGATGATGATGATGATGATGATGATGATGATGATGATGATGATGATGATGATGATGATGATGATGATGATGATGATGATGATGATGATGATGATGATGATGATGATGATGATGATGATGATGATGAGGAGGAGGAGGAGGAGGAGGAGGAGGAAGAGGAGGAGGAGGAGGATTTATTAAACATACATTTCTATACGATTAGTTAATTAATATAAAGTATCTAATGTATTTTTAGGGAAAACCAAACAATTACATTTATCGTTTAACATATTTTAGATTACAGAGGTTCAAAGAACATTTGTCTGAAGTTCCTGTATTCTTTACAAATGCGATATGAAATTAAAATTATGCATCTTTAATATTTCACTATATCTGATTGTTCGTGAATTGATCATAAATTAAACATAAAACTTTACATGTAATAAAAGTACGCTATAAACTGTTATGTTCGATTCTTTTTCTAGAATACTGGATCATGAATTTAAAGGTAGTTTTCCTAAGTAAATGCAGAGGCAAAGAACAAAATGCACAGCTTGGGATCAATTAGAAGATTTGGACTTGGCAAATAACCGATCACTTATATCCCGTACATATAAAATAAATACAGATGAAAACAATCAGCCTAACAGCAGTCTCTTCATCAGTAGGCTTCAACACACACAACAGAAAAATCTAGATCCTCAAATACAACATAACAAACACCAAACCAACCTTATTCGTTGGAGAAGCATTGGAAGATGTGGAATCTTTCATGTACCTTGACAGTATCATAGATGATCAAGGAGGACCCGATGCAGACGTAAAATCACTGATTGACAAAGTAAGGGTAACATATGGAACTCGTTACTGCTGTCAACTAATATCAAAGTGAGAATTTTCAATACGAACGTCAAGACAATTCTTCTGCATGGAGCTATACTTGGAGAACTAACACAACCATCATCCAAAAAGCACAATGATTTATAAACGGTTGTCTACACAAGGTACTGAATGTCCGTTGGTTGGATACTATCATCAACAGTCTAAAATGGGAGAGAACAAACCACCTTCGAGCTGAAGAGTAGAGTAGGGAAAGACGTTGGAAATAAATTGGACATACATTACGGAAATCATCAAACTAAATCACGAAGCAAGCACTAACTTGGAATCATGAATGGAAACAGAAAAGTTGACGACCAAAGAAGAATACATGAAAAGAATGAATAACGACTGAGAGTAACTGCAATGGATTATCCAGGACAGAGTTGAATGGAGAATTTTGGTGGTAGACCTATACTTCTCCACGTGGTGTCACAGACACAAATAAGTAAGTAAGAAAAAGCACATAAGTTACATCTTTATCTTTATGATTGCTAAAACTTTATACTGTTCATTTGTATTTTTGTCCTAAGTTTTAATGCATCATAGGTCTGTGAAATTCAAGTATATTTAAATAAACAAATCCATAAGTGTATTTTTATTAGCTACTACCGTCTAATGAAAATGTAATTGACGCTTTAGTTTATCAAATTTTGCATGAGAATATAATTCATGTGTAATTTAATCCGAAAATTGATAAACATGCATCCAGTAAATATAAACATTGTTTCTATGACTTATTCTATTATGTAAACTGTTGTAACGGGTGGACTGCAGGTTATGATAAGCAGCGTTTTATCGATCAGAATTAGTGACACGGAAAACACGTAAGGACGACCTAGAGTCCCGATCGGTCACCAGCTCTGTCGTCCCTTCGTCTCCCCCTTTCAGTAGTGCTCTTTTCAATGTATCCACGAAGCGCTCTGCCTGGCCATTTAATTGGGGGTGATACGGTGGAGATCGTATGTGTGGAATCCCATTCCCGTCGCCACTGATACGTCTTGTCGATGAAGCGCTATGTACGATTCCCAAGCTATTTCGATGACCCGCAGTCTAGAACTACACAGCGACTTGAACTCCAGAGAGAAGACACAAGTATGAGAGAAAACATTTTATCCCAAGGTTCATTTTTGTACAGAAAATCATAGGTATTTATAGATGTTAGCGTCAGTTAAATCAACATCATATTTTCAGCCAATTCGTTAAAGTCATATTATGCTACCGACCAATAATAGCACGCCACGCTGGAATTCTCGAACGTTCCATCATACTCTGATTGGCTAGGATCCTTCGGCTCCTTTTGGGCCTCTGGAGGCTCAGTTGAAGTTCTCCGGAAGCCGACTCAACATAAACGAAAATAAAACACTTAATAAATAAATAGAAAATTAAATGAAAATACAAACTGAATCAGAATTTTGCTTGTTTATAAATAATTAAATTTTATACTTATTTATGTTTATCTAGTTACGTTACAAAATGCAACATCATTGAAGATTAGCATGGCCCCTGCTCAAGGATGACACGCAAAATCGTGAAGCATAAAATTAGGTGTTCCATTCTTATTAAAAACTAATAAATGTATTTTGTAGATATTATAGATGATCACAAGTGTATTTATTACGATATAGGATGCAGTTACAGTTGATGGATCAAACTATTGAAATAAATGTTTACTTTAACCATCGTGAAATCATCCAATTCAGAATAGAGAAGATTAAATTTTCCATGACAGCTTTTATGTCTAGTGAGAATACTAAAGAAAATGATTGATTGAAATTAGACATGAACACTATTGCACTCTGGCAAATGATCAAGAGGTTAAGAGCAAAAAAAGTGATCGAATATCATAGGTTCAATTTACAGTAGGGTCATTAAAGCCTCTATTGTACTAGGTACAAAACAAGATTTTGGTGTTTTCTAGTTTTCAATAGTTTTATAACTATAATTAATCCGTAATGGAGATTGTGAGGATTTAAGCAGTTAAATGGATCATCATGTATTGTTTTACTCCGCAATTCTTTTACTGAGCCACATATACGTTTATTACATTATAAAGAAACGGAATTTTATCGGTCTTATTACATTCCCAATCACACGTAGCCTTGTAAAATTCATCTCGCCCCATAAAACCTACTAAGTGATATTAAATTCAAAAGTAATCATGTAAAGCGTTGTGCGCGTTTTGAATAAGTAACGCTTTGCCAGAATATAGTATCTGAAAAATCAAACTGGAAGCAATGAAATACCGAAATTCCTATCTAAACACATTTAGTGTAAATAACAAAAAAATTTAATATTGATTTATAACATTTTAGTCGACTACCTTTAATCGTAATGCAGAAAGGTGTTTCTAAGCACTTCATGCGAATGATTTAAGTTAGATAAGGAAGACAACTGGTCACAATACTATAAAAATATTGAAATCAGATAATCTATGTGATAAATAATGGACTAATCAAGCAGTTGAAATCTTTCTTGGTCACTTTTACCTACTGATTAAATAATCAGTAGTAAAACGAAACAATTACTTTTTTTGGCAATGTTGAACGAATCTGTTTACGAAGGTCCTTATTCATATACTTGTATTAGTTCATTCTTCTTATTTAAGAACGATAGAAAGTTACTATGGCATATTCCGATCAACAACGTTTTATTTTGATTTTGATTAATACACTTTCAGTATATTGTAAGACAAAAAACTATCTCTTCATTAGTTTTGATACAATTGGGGTAATCGCGATATTTCCCGAACCAATAACCCCTTTTGACCACTAAGCCCATATAGAACAGTTTAAACGCTCAACTTTGTTGTTTAATCATATTATTCTAATCAATGCCACTGATTAGTGTTATAACTACGAAAACTGCTGTAATACTTGAAACAAGGAAGTCATTTGGATATTGAATTACTGATTATCTTGAATAAGGATTTATAGTATATAAATTTGTAGTATATAAATATCATGACAAAAAATTTTCAGAAGATTTAACTCATTCTGAAGAAGGCATAAAACCTAAACAAAAGCGACATCGTCTATACATTAGTTTGTAGACAATGGTCAAGAATAGAATAACATCAATATCAGTACCTTTAAAGTTTGACAATTTTTAAGACCTAGTAAATTGAATCATGAATTTCAGCGTTTGTGAACGCAAAATGACAGGAGAACTAGGAAACTAAATTTATAATGATATTAATTTCAACTGGGTAGTAACTAATGTAAATGGATCAATAACTTATTGTGTGAACACATGATTACAATATCATACCATCAAGCATCTATAATTATGAGATATAACTAACTAACTCAGTCATAATTTCTCCTTATTGAACAGTTGTTATTATCATAATTATCTTGTCTTTTAGTGTTGAGCGAGCTATTTGTCAATTCCAGTCATTTAGACTAGAAACCATTTACAAATTGACCGATAGAATTCCAGCTGTACTAAAGAGCTAAATGTAAGTAACACTAGCCATCATGTAATGATTAATCAATTGTAAATATTTTAGCCTGATAGGAGATAAATCTCAGCCCACATAGATCATTGTTAACATCTCACAATGTGAGACAGAAGTTTGGATTTTTAAAGAGCATCTGTTCTCACAAGACAATGGCTAATTCACTCTGATGAGTTCCCATTAGCATGAATCTTAGCTACAGGATTTTCAGTCAACTACTTCCAAATACATGATACTCAATTTTCTATGTTTATATTTCATGAAAATGCTCTGTAATTTTTAAAATAGGTATTATATGTATTCATTTTATTATTTTGGTCGTCTAAAGTGTAATAACTTGTTTAATAGTTTAGTTTCTATTACAAATAAAACTTATGCAACTCATCTATCTACATACCACTATTCTTGGCTTCATAAAGAAGTAACTATGTAAGAAGTACAGATGTAAGTGAGTACTAATAAATAGTAATAATGAAGATAATAAAAATAATTTTGTTAATAATCATAATGATATTAATGATGTTTCAGGATCGTACTTCATTATCATGTTGAATAACATCCCATATTTCCTATATGAATGTATGTGACAATATTAACTATAGTTAACCTACTGTGTTTCTCTACGAATTATCAAATTTAGTTTTAAAAATCAAAGTTTAAATACAAGATGTTGAAATAATATTATCAGTATAGGGTTGTGGAGATTATTAAGCTTTTGATTGAAAACATGAACTGAATGATGTTAGACCACTAATGAAAATCTGGAAGCACCGGATGGCCGTTTCATTCTCTTGTGTGACTCTTCAGCTGTCTGTATCCATGATCCCGCTCGTGAGATTCGAACCCAAGGTCTTTTGTCTTGTGGA